AATAGACTCGTATATTATATCGTCACTGAGATATATTGCCATACCGCCTAGCTCTAATGTAAAGACATCTTTCTCTTTCATGAAAATTTCAGGTCTATGTGGAATAGCGCGTGACTTATTATGAGAATGTTGAATTTTGTTCATTAATGTTTCAGAACATTTAAAAATTGAACCTGCAAATCCACATAGCATTTCCATCCATTACAGTCATCATTTCCACAAAAGTAAGTAAATTTAGTGGTATTTATAATGCATACAGACTAAAGAACTGCATTAGAGGGCTTTCTTTTTACTTATTCTCAGAGCAGTGTGAGCTATGATCCCGGCTCTTTCAGAGAGCATCAGCTCTAATGAGCTTTAAAAGATCATGTCATTTTCAGGATCCAAGCTTTTCTTTCCTCCTCTTTTGCTTTTTATCTCAATTACCACTGTACCATGGGGAATGCAATTCATCTCTGAATGGACCAAAGTCTTTAATGGTGCTCTTTCTTGAATTTAGCCTCTACAGCAGCGCTTTGATAGGCGGCGGGGATAAGGGTCTGCTCAGCGTGATTAAACACTCCTTTCCGCTGCCAAAATGCAGCAAGCAGATTTCTCCTCCGCCGATTTGTTTGCTCACGCTTGCACTGAACTGGTTTATCTTCCTCCCTATCCTCTTCTTCCTCTTTTTTCTGCATTGTCTACCCCCTCTCTTTGTATGATTACATACAATGTGACTATACATAATCATATTCTGTTATGTAACAGTTACACATAAATGGCAGCAAATTAATATTAACGAACATAGTACAGAGGCATAGTGTGATCTGAGCTATAAATGTTCATGATGAATCCGCTGCTTTTACTTCCACGGTCTTTATATTTGGAGGTAGGAATCTGAAGTGTTTGCTCTGAAATTATTATAAATATGGCTTGGATGATGTCTTGACAGCACCAGCCAAATATACAAGATGATTGATGTGGCCATGTTTTTTTTATGTAGTCGTCCATCTTCTATTATAATGTCTTTTAGAGGATGAATGCCAATTCATCCTTGTTTGGCGAATGTAAAAAAAGAGGGAATTGGAAGCTGCACCCCGGTAGCATTTCTCCTTAATGGAATAATTTTTTCAAAAATGAATTATGTTGGCTTGAAAAGGATTTTTTTTTTAAATTTTAACTTGAGACTAAACATTTAACATCTAAAATGTAACCTCAGTTTTCAAGCTTCATCCAACAAATTCGGCACAGTTCTATAGCTGATGAGTAACTTCCATTGAGTAAAGTCATTTTACACAGCACGCACGTTCTCTGTTTATTTTCTGTGGGATAGAGGCAGCAGGAGCTTGCCAATCATGAGCATTCCCGCTGATGTTTCACAAGCGATTTTATTCTACTTCGATTTAATGTCAATTAATTGGGGCCTATCAGGGTATAATACATGACAAATTTTCTAATGCTGCAAACTATATAGGGAACTCCATTTGGTACATCACTATAATATTAAATGTTAAAATTAACTGATTTGTTGGCTGCTTATATGGATTCATTTTTATAAGCCATTTTTAAATAACTTAAAAAAAATGGTGGCTTTCGTAAAAAAAACGAATTTATTCAAACATTAAATACTGACGAACAGTGAAAATACAATGAATATGCAAAATTATGAATATGTTTAGAAAAATGCTCCTCTCTAGAGTTCAAGTTTTTGGACTAGAATGGCTTTTCTGAGGTAAATTTAACATTGCGTGACATTGATTGAGATGATTAAATTTGATAATACGGATTTCAGTCAGTTGTACATACCTTCTGATGTTCATTCATGTCTATTTTGTGCTGTAACTAGTAACGTGGAAGAGATGATCGGTTCATGTGCGCTCCACGCTGACTCTTTGCTTGAACTGAGGCACTACAGCGATCTGTCTCACCACATTAAAGAGCTCCAAAATTATGTTTATGTGTTAAAATTTTGTAACAAAATTTAAAAGCTCACACTTTGTTTCATATCAGCACCAAAAACACAAATAAGTACCAAAACACAAAGTTTATTGTGATTTATTGGGAGGCGCGCGCTATTCATTCATAAACTGAAAACAGACTGAAAAGTCAAATCTTAGGATTTCAGAATATATATCGGTTCTTCAAAATAAGAATCGATTAAAATTAAGAAATCAATATTTTTTAACCAAGCCCGACTAGGAAGTAATGACTGAGTGGGTTATTTCAGACATATCCAAAATTACACTCCAATTTCTTTGGTTTGTATTCTGTTTTACAAAGAAATAACACTCACTGAGATATACATTACTTATCATTTAGAGTCAGCACAGAATGCAATATTTTCATATGCTGCACTGTATAAAATAATCATCATTTTAACTGTAAAAGTGAATTGGTTAACAGTAAGTTTCGTTACTATATATACAGTATACACAGTAAAAACCTATAATAAACGTGGCTTTTTATGTGATTTTACAGTAAAATACTAAATGATGGTTTTGATTGAAATAATTACGTTACGTCATTTTTGATCAATTATGTACATACAGTTTGTTAAGTTATTGTTTAGTGCTTTAGTGTTTTATTTTGTGTTTGTATCTGATAACTTCTGTATATTATTTACAGTACCTCAGGTGCGATGAACTTTGATTGATTGTGTGGCTCTCTCATTACAATCTGTGCTTTATGGTTGTAAGTATATCATATTGAATAGGTTGGTATATTAACTTACATTAACTCATGAAATATATGTTTTACTGTCCCTTTTTAGCATAAATGTCATGGATTTGTTTCTACAGTGTAGTATGGAGTTAAAGCAGCTGCACACACTGTTTCACACACCCTCTCATTTATATGGCAAATGAATGCAAAGCTTGCTGCCTATCGAGTCCTGTGTAAAATTCCCTTAATTCCTGCTAGAGCTTTCAAGCTGTGTTCACCAAACTCAACACAATACTTCATGCTGTTCTGACTTAGTAGGCTTTATTTTTTTCCCCAAACTAATCAGGCTTGATTGTCCTGTAGTGAAAAGACACCCAATCCATTCAAGCTTTGAACCATTTTAAAATTTAAGGCCAGGTTTTGTCTAGACAATGTTCAAGTTTGCCGTGACAAATTTTCTTTTTCCAGTTAACATATGCCTTAGAATGTGACAAGCCATAGTATTTGTCTTGAGTCATTTTAGACCTGCATGGTCAGTGCATGATGTGGCATAGCAGTGCCATTTTATTTTCCATTGAAAGCTGGCCATATTTGGATGGGTGTTTTTTTTTTTTTTTTTTTTGCCTTCACAGTAATAAGGGGAGATGTTCATGTGTCGTGCACATGCATAACCCATTGTATAATGGCTGTTTTATACAAGGATGTTTTCATACAGTACCTATTTATCTATTTTCCCATTTCTATTTATCAGTGTTGGTTTCATCAGTTTCAGCTACTATATTTCCAGAGACCAGCTGTACTATTAAAGCAGTATAGCTGTATTCAGTTTTAAACTAGGTTTGTATCATTTTTTTACATTTTGAGAGAGCACTTGCATAAAAGTATTTAAAAATGTATGCAGTGGAAGGAAGACTTTCTATATTAGCACACTAAAGGTTTGAGTCTGCACTTGGGGCTTGATAAATGTTTATGGTGCACCATAAGCACAGCAATTACCTCCTCTCTGAAGTTATGACACAGTCATGTTTAATGGAAGGTCAGATATTAAACATGGCTCTCTAGTGTGAACATCTTTAGAGGTACCATTGTGATTTGAAACCTCTAACACCATTGTGATGAGGACTGATTGACAAAATGTCGCTGCCTTGTTGAAATGAGTTGATTGACTGCAACTAAAATGCTCACAAATATGACGCATCTAGTTGCAATTGGGAAAGTGCGACAAATGGTAAAGCTTTTTATGCATCCATATTCCATTTAATCAGATATCATTTTGTGCACGCTGGTGTTGAATGCTAATGAAAAAAAGACTCTTGTGAACTGGTTATTTCAAAAAGTCATTTAAAGAGATACACAAAAAAGATTTTAGTTTGAATCTGGTTCCGTAAATATTGTTCATGAACTGGAAGCTGTGCCTAGGTAGCATTTTTCTGTAATGGCATTTACTTTTTCTTTTCTTTTCTTTCTTTTTTTTAAATTAATCAGCTATCATCTTGTGCATGGCAATTTTAAATGCCACTAAAAAAATACTGCATGAACTGGTTGTTTGTAATAAGTCAAAAGATTCATGAAACTGCCCCAAAACATGCTCATAAGTTATTGGTTTGAATAAGATTCAATAAGCGAATCATTTAGAGTGGTTACTGAGTTCACAACCGACTCACTCACTGAAATGGGAGTCATTTTTAATGTTCGATCCAGTTATATATACTCGTATATTTAATATATAAGTTCATAAGACATACATTAGTCTGTTTACTAACTGATCACATGACAATGTGTAACTGAAGAAACAAATATTGTTTATCACTTAACAAATGATGTCCAATTATACAACTGAATCAAGTGTAGTTCAAACACTTGTTGACATGTTAGCATAATCAACAAGATTTCACTTTTTTTATATAAAAAGCTATGATATCGGCACGGATATTATCATAATCACTTTAGTTACAGCAATAAAATGTCAAAATTATTTATTAAATACAACTATAACACCTAATTTTATATAACTTTAAGTCAACTTAGTCTAGACAAAAGCTATAGCAATGTGAACTGAAACAATTCAGGACAACCATGATTGCTCAAAAGTCATTTGGCTGTTAAATATTTCATTTGCTTCTTCATTTCTTAATATGGCCTGGCGCCCTGTACATGCAGGGCAAGAACTGACTTCTGTCGTACTATTGTGTTGTGATTGACTGCCAACTCATACAACTTACATGAGGTCGGCTGAGCTGACATCATTTCATTTTGATCCCTGACAGTTCCTGCCACTCAAAGCCAGGTGTTGCAGTTCTGTTGGCTGGTTTCAACAGGCTTTCTCTCAGTTTGATACAGCCTTTCCCATCTGTGCACAGGGCCGAACTGCTACGCGGACACGGCGGTGATCCCGGCCGGCCGAGAGGTGAAGATTGACGAATGCACCATCTGCTACTGCACGTACGAGGAGGGCACCTGGCGTATCGAGCGGCAGGCCACCTGCAGCAAGAACGAGTGCCAGCCGAGCTAAGGCGGCGACGGGGGGCTCGAGACCCTCAGCCTTCACCCGGACAGCTGTGGATCTGGATCACCCGTCCCAGCTGTGGTCTGTACGGGCTCAGCACGCCAGCCCTGAGCCTCACACGCAGCCAAGACACCAGCACCGTGTGGCGTAACATCAATCACGGTCATTTGTGACCGTTCATGACTATGAACTCAGAGTGTCCCGTAGCATGCAGCGGACAGGCCAATTAACCTGGGAGTGCGAAGCGCTACATTCCTCTCGCTACGACGGAGCCTCTGAGTTGGCATAGCGTCATGACGAACGATAGAGTTACATGTATAGTCTTAGGAGGCATGGAGTTGAATTCAACTATATTAATACTTCAAGTTTGTATTGAGATTTATAACCCATATAAAGGATATTTATTTATGTATGTGCTGGTTCGACGATTATGATTGGATTCAAGTATCTGATTTACAGTGAAATGATATTTTTTATAGCCACTGTCTTTTGATATGCCGTAACGTTTAATACCGGATCATCTTATTAGAATGTATAAACGCACCTACAGCTGTCAATGTGTCTGGGGGAACGTTTTGATTAGATGATGCCGCTGTCAGGATGCCTCTGACACATAACATCTAACGCTATGTCAGGATAGTCAACAGAGCAGAATGGATTTGATGTCCATGTGAGGAAATCAAAGAAGGAAAGAAAGCTGCTTGCAGATGTTTGCATTTATGTTAAGTCTCTATCGTGCTCTTATCTGAGGTCCGTTTTGCTAAGACGTGTTTCTATGTGTACGTGTTTTCATGTTCCAAATAAATCATTACACTGTGCAGGCTCGTTTGTGACTAGACGCTGATGCGAGGGCAACTTAGGTTAGTTACCATTTTTAAAACACAGGGCCAAGAGGAAATGTCAAGTAAAAACATGAAAAATGGCACAGATTTCACGAGGAATATTGAACCAGGAGGAGTTTCCAAGTCAAGAGGGGATAACTTCATGTTTTTAATTTAGCTGTAAATGAAGACCTCCTGGTGTAGTATTTTGCTTTTAAAGCACTAAATCCTAGGGGTTCTGTTCCTGTAGTTTGTGAACTAAACTTTAGAGTAAGGGAGTGTTCACACAAGTGTTTTCATATAAAAACAGAAAACTTTTTATGCATTTTGGCTGGTCATTTATACAACGGCATTTTGGGAGCCTGAAAACGCAAACTTTTGAAAGCGGGTTTCAAAGTGCAAGTTTGTGTGAAAAAAATTATAGACAATTTGTGAAAATGGTGACGTCATGCGTATTCGGATTATGTGTTCAGATTATAGCTGTGTAGTTTCTTTACAAAGGCCAGCTGCTGGCCTGGCATGAATAATAAAGCGTTTTAATCGTTTTCTTGGATCAGTGTGAATAGGAATCATTTTGACAGTGTTGTCATCTGTAAAAAGCTTCTGCGGAATAACATATAATTATTGACACTGATTAAAGTCAAAATCAATTTCTTATTTTTTAACAGAATATTCAAGTCAAGTCAAGTCACATTTATTTATATAGCGCTTTTCACAATACAGATTGTATCAAAGCAGCTTCACAGTGATAACATGAAAGTAGTACAACACAGATCAATAAATAAATATATTATAATATTGCATGCATTATTATTATATTGCATGCAATAATATTGAAGCATTTATTATAAATGTCTAGGTATATAATCTTATATATAAAAAAAATATATAATCTTCAATCAAAAAAAGTTCCCCTCCCTCTTGCATTGACATCTCGTCTTTGATGACGTGTTTATTGGCGTGAGGACAGAACATCATGTCATTCACAAGAGCAAACTACAATGATTCATCAATTTCTGAGTAATAAAATCAAATCGGCACATTTTTTTTTCTACTTCGTGAAGCAGTTTTACTCAGATATACATGACAATAGAGTAGAAAAGACTATTGCAAATTCCATTTCATGACTACCTTAATATCAACCATGATATCAAATTTGAGACTGTGAAACTGCAGCTGTTAGATACATCCCGCATGATCATTCTAAGCTCTTTAAAATTACTTTTTACTTTTGCATCAGTTGGATCATTTTTAGGTTACATTACAAAATACACTCACTAAAGGATTACTAGGAACACCATACTAATACTGTGTTGGACACCCTTTCGCCTTCAGAACTGACTTAATTCTACGTGGCATTGATTCAACGAGGTGCTGGTATTCTTTAGAAATGTTGGCCCATATTGATAGGATAGCATCTTGCAGTTGATGGAGATTTGTGGGATGCACATCCAGGGCACGAAGCTCCCGTTCCACCACATCCCAAAGATGCTCTATTGGGTTGAGATCTGGTGACTGTGGGGGCCATTTTAATAGTGAACTCATTGTGGTGTTCAAGAAACCAATTTGAAATGATTCGAGCTTTGTGATATGGTGCATTATCAGAGGATGGGTACATGGTGGCCATAAAGGGATGGACATGGTCAGAAACAATACTCAGGTAGGCCGTGGCATTTAAACGATGCCCAACTGGCACTAAGGGGCCTAAAGTGTGCCAAGAAAACATCCCCCACACCACACAGGTAACAAGGCATGATGGATCAATCTCCTCATTCTGTTTACGCCAAATTCTGACTCTACCATCTGAATGTCTCAGATATATACTCAGACCGGCCCGTCTGGCACCAACAACCATGCCACGCTCAAAATTGCTTAAATCACCTTTCTTTCCCATTCTGACATTCAGTTTGGAGTTCAGGAGATTGTCTTGACCAGGACCACACCCCTAAATGCATTGAAGCAACTGCCATGTGATTGGTTGATTAGATAATTGCATCAATGAGAAATTGAACAGGTAATCCTTTAGGTGAGTATATGTTTAACAGTAAAAGCAGAAGTGTAAAAATACTGTGAATCATATACCCAACTCTGATTTGCTCATTTTAATCAAAATCCCACCCTGAGGAAACCATCTTGTTGAACTTCATCATGCTGAAGAAAGAGCAGAAGCTGAGCAACACTGCTGTTTATGTCAGGAAATGGTAAGGAATATCAACTGCACTACAGTATTTCTCTTTTTTGAGACCTTAAAGGTGATGCAAGCAACATATTTTAGAAATATCGGATTTTTATAAATCTGTTCAAATGTCATTTGATAAGGATAATGATTACAGCTGATGAAGTTAGTTAATATATATGAAATAATCATATCTTTCTCTCCAGTTCAGGTCTTGGAACCACTAATACTGACAAAATGAGTGGAAACATCCAAATGTGAGACGTCCAAAATGTGCAGTTCTGGGCTACTCCAGGACCCCAAGACTGAGAAACACTGCAGGTCTAGAATAGATGATTCAGTCAGCTCAAACACCTCCCACTGATAGAAATGTGAGATACAATAAGCAACAGTGCCTTGTTACGTAAATAGTGCCTCTGCTCATACTGTATGTAATTCAGTCAGTGGGATTCAAAGAAGGATATTTTCCTATTAAATTAAAATTAAACATATTTTAAGTACATAGACCAGTTTTATTTAGTATTATTTATATGCTAAAATAGTATTTATTAATATTTTGGCTTAGCTTTTGTTTTAGATTTTCCTTTTATTTTAGTTCAAATTCTAGTACTTACTTTAGTAGTTACTTATTTAACATATTTCAGTTTGTTGCAAAAGTAATGTTATTTTATTTTAGCTTTATTTCAATTACTGAACCTATTATTTTAATTACCAAAATAGTTTGTTTTATTTTCAATTTTAGTTAGTCACCATGAAATCAAAATGACAATTCTTATTGCAATATTTATTATAAATGATTTATCTGTGCACTTCAATTTTTTTTTTGCATGTGTCCTTTATCAAAATAGCTTCCCTTCCCTCTTGCAATGACATCTCTTTTCTTCTCTGATGATGCGTTTACTGGCACGAGGGCGGTACAACCTGTCACTCACATGAGATCGACCAATAACAAACCACAACCATCCAATCAATCAAGCATAGTTGGACAAAAAAAGTACCGCCCAACATTTTTCTTGCCCGAGAAGCCGTTTCACTTGAATATGTGCCACAACAGTGAAGGAAAGACTATTGCAACTTCCATTTCATGACAACTTTAATAATAAAAACACCTTTTTAGACACTAAAATTGCATTTTACCATTAGTATGCACCTTTCAACTTGATTAACCATTAGATTAAGGTCAATATATTTTTCAGTAAAGGTCAGAATATTAAAAAAGGTGCACAAATATCTCAGGTTTTCTGTAGCAGTTCACAATTTTTAAGCAAAACAAATCAGTTTTAAAAATGCTGATCGTTAATTTAATGAGAGAGGATCAAAATGAAGTTGACAAATCCACATGACAGGATAATATGGCCAACATCAGGTGTGATATCAAAGAAGCACAAATCTTGCATCAAAGTAATTCAGTCAGATCCCTCCCTCGTGCCATAGGCAGCTCTTAAATGCAGTTCGATTTGATGTCAAGAGTTCTGCCACTAACTGAAAGCTACAAAGAGCATAACACTGGTTAGCGCGGAGTAGATTAAACAGCACTAGATTTGATTCTGTTGCCACTTCATTGCGTTGAAGCTCTCAGCAAACAAACAGCCCGTCTATCTTCAGGATTTTCTGCAGCTGACTCATTTAGGCATAGTAACAGCAATTAGTTTTTAGGATTAAAGATGAGGGTTTACATTGAGAGGTTTATATTTCCCTCATGGTGTTTTATCAGCAGTTAATAATGTGTCCAATCAATTAAAGGAGCATAAAATTACACAACATAATTACAGGCAGATTATGAATAATGGAGCAGAATTATTATAAGAGTCTTAAAGAAAAGGAAATGTTACTGGGTTATACAATAACTCATGTTCATTGAAGATTTGTTTTATATGGTTGTTTATTAGGTCCCCTTCACACCTAACCAGATAACAGAAATGTTCTGAAAACGTTCTGCTCAAGTTCCCATTAAGCTAAGAAAACGTAATTTCTGGATGTTCAAAAAGTCCAGTTAAAGGGATAGTTCACCCAAAAATAAAAATTCTGTCAGTATTGTTCCAACCCCGTAAGACATCTTCGGAACACAAATTAAGATATTTTTGATGAAATCTGAGAGCTGGAACACTCTTCCATACTAGTCCATAGGCTTCTTGAGGAATTGAAACTTGCCGGACTCGAAAAGTTATTAAAGACAACGTTAAAATAGTCCAAGTGACTTCAGTGGCTCAATCCTAAGTTTATCAAGCGACGAGAACACTTTTTTGTAAAAAAAACAACAAAAATAACGACTTTATTTCAACTATTCATTTATTTCTCTCTCTGCCTCAAGTCAGGTTATTAGTTTAATAGCGTAAGCTTCTGTTTTTGTACGTCACACGCATCACACACATGACCAGCGTCGGCCAATAGTGAGCCTACAGCCTGATTAGAGGCCCATAGAGAAGGAAGTGAATAGTTGAAATAAAGTTGTTAATTTTTGTTTGTTTTTGCACACAAAAAGTGTTCTCATCGCTTGATAAACTTAAGATTGAGCCACTGAAGTCACTTGGACTATTTTACCGATGTCTTTAATAACTTTTCGAGGCCAGCAAGTTTCAATACCTCAAGAAGCCTATGGACTAGTATGCAGGAGTTATCCAACTCTCAGATTTCATCAAAAATATCTTAATTTTTGTTCTGAAGATGAACGAAGGTGTTACAGGGTTGGAACAACATGAGGGTGAGTAAATACTGACAGAATTTTCATTTTTGGGTGAACTAACCCTTTAATATATATATATATATATATACACACACACACAAAAAAAACGTATTAACAACATTCCATTTTATTATTTTGCAAACATTACGGGAATGTTACTTTTGAGGGTTTTTTAACCAATCTAAAAGAGTAACATTTAAAAAAATATATGACATCTTTGTATTTTCTTCGTATTTTCAATTTGTTTGCAGATATCTAGGAAACATGCTGAGTTAACATACTCACGTATCTGAAAAACAATGCTACCGCGAGTTATTTTACTTCGAAATGTTCTTTCTGTGTCAGACTGTCCGTTTTTGCCAGCGTATTGCAGCCATGCAAGCCAGCAATCGAACTGGGTCGGAGATCGCAGTTCTACCCGACCTAAATGGCCTCAGCGTTAATCTAAAAGCTCAATGACCAGAGGCGTGTAATAGTCAATTAAAACACAGATAAATCAACTCATTAACTCATCTGGGTACATGCTCTCTGTCTTCAAACCAAGTTTGCCAGACAGTATCCCTCCTGTAGCAAAACGTGCCTTCAGGCAAGACTGGGGGATTATGGGAAAATGAAGCCAGATGAGTGCACATACATGACAGAAGAGCTGATCACCCCCCGGCATCTCTCTGTGCTTCAATCTATCTCTTT